AAGGAGATGCTTAAAGTGAAATTGTTGGAACTTATAGAGGAACAACGTCATAAATATATTCTAAACGTTGTCAACACAATGGCTCGTAATAGTGATATTTTGTTACAAATGCTTCTCCCTCATCACTGCGAATTTAATTTATTGGTCCACTTTGGACGCAAGTGAAAGAGTTTGTGGCTCGTAAAAATATTACACTTAAAATAGATGACGTCAAACGTTTATTAAAAATCGGTATAGGATTTATAAAACCTAAATATAGGCAGGATTTTATTTTTTAATTAAGGAAAAAATTAATATGAGGCGCTGGAGCGGTGTAATATAAACACTATTTGAACCTTTAGTCATAACTTTAAGTTCCGACGATAAAGTCATTACTATACTTTATAAATTCAGAAGTCATGTAAGTGATAGCTTAATATACAGATTTTTACAATAAATATATAAAATTATAAACAGATGATTATTACAACAAAAATAAATAACCAATCTACTTTTATCCATTCATATATACTAATACCCCATAGAAAAATAAAAAGAGAAGGTTTGAATAAATGGCGGGACTTGTTTCCTTGTTGGTAGTTGAACCGTAAGCGCTTAGCGCGCTGCTATCACTAAATTCAAACCCGTTTTACACCCATAAAAAAATATGTTTTCAAAAATAATGACAAAGAAATCAATAATTTTACTTATTTACCCCTTTAAATTTCACTTTAATATAATGTGTGATCAAATACAGGGATAATCGTTAATAAATTTAAAGTTAAAGCTAAATATAAATATTATTAGATGGTGTAAATCTGGCTTTGAAAATAAATTAGGTTATGTTGCTATAAATATGTCAGCATTCCTGATATTATTTTTATTTTCAAATGAAGGTGAAATTTTTTTCAAATGTAGGTGAGTAAATTGTATTAATTAAGTGTAAGTTAGATTTAACTAATTTAACTATAGGGAGGTTCTTAAGAAAATAATTAACTTCTGATTCATTTAAATTTTAATTGAAGAAGTACTTAAGTATTTTTCTCACAAAAAAAAAGAAATTTTATGTTTTTCCTGCTATTATTACTCTAGAGATAAATGGACCCACATTTTAAACATTTGTGGTCAAAAAAATGAAAGGAGTTGTGAGCAAAATGTGTGAAGCCAATTTACAAACAAATATTGTAGAACCTGAGATAGAACCTCATCCTAGTTTTACTGATAAAGACCATGATGAAAAAAGGCGAATGATTTGTGCTCAAAAAGTTATTGTTCAATTTTTGGGTGATATTCATTATTATATTTATCAAATAATACCCAAATATATTTAAAAACTTATATGCTATTTAGGTCAACTTGTTAATTTTTGTATAGTTCTCCTATTAAGATCATAAATCAGATGTTTTCTATTTTTATTGAAATTTTTATACCTTTTATTGCAAGAAAAATGTAAGAATTTAAAAACGTTATGACTCCTGTTAATTTTTAATTTTAAGATACACACTGCACCTTTATTTTTGTTTTGTTTTAGATATTCCTCAGTATGGAGATTTTTGGAATGTACATAAATGTGTTACTTAATTAAGGTGAGTTTCAAAGCCCACCTGTATTGAAGCTGGAGGCTTATTGTACCCGAAATATGCATTACAACTATTCTAGATTGAAATAGATGTGAAAAGGCCTTAAAGGGACAATAAGTATAAGAATATTAGAATTAGAATGATTTGTCCTTGGATTAATAAGGGATATTTAAAACATTAAAACAATTGTGTTTATAAATGAACTACTTTGACTTTTTATAAAAACTATATCTGGTTTTTTAATAATAAAAACATTGTCATGTGCTATGCTGGTTATCATATTATATTTTCATTTTTCAGTAATTTAGTGTGTGATATAGTGCTTGTTATGTTCAAAATATGCAGTTAGAAGATAATGAGACACATGTAATTACGTGGTAATTCTAAATAAATTAAACTTGTTAAAAATGTGTTTTATTTTTTAACTAATTTTATTTTTCAGTTAAAACAAATGACATTTTCCATTTTTCAACATTTACCTACAACAAAAATTCACTAAACTTATTGTTTGTTTAGTAGTTGTAAGTAAATGTTGTCAAATAGGAAAATGTTACTTCAAATTGCTTCAAATATTTAAATTATCAAGCCCGCCAATTTTTAAATCGCTTTAATTAGTAGTATTCTATTTTATCGACTGAAACTGACAGGTGTAGTTCAACCGTAAGCGCTTAGCGCGCTACTGTCGAGGTCAAGCAAACTTGTTACCAACTATTTACATGGAATCCGACCCCCGTGTAATACCATATTTAAATATTCAATTTGCCAATATAATGTTTCTAAGTCAGGAGAAGAAAAGATTTTGGCAATGAACATTTATGGAACGTGATACTGATAGCTTCTGTAGTCATACAACGCGTGATACGCATGTGATATATTCATAATTCACCGGTATAGTACGATGAATGTACGTAAACAGGGATGAATTACTTTTTCCAATATTTTGTTCGAGTGTAGACTGCGTTAGATTGTAGGCACCTGTGGTTAATTTGAAGTAAATGCCATTCAGGTAAAAGAGGTTAGTCAAAATATTCAGGTTTGTAAATTTTAATGATCGTTTGTGCTACCAGCTTACAGTGAAAGAATTGTCTAGAAGAAGCGAATTATTTCAGGTTTTATTTAAGATATATACATAAAAAAACATCTCCTTCTCGCCCAAAAAGACCTCTACGGGGACTATCAATATCTATTGAAACTCGCTTATTAAAAAATTTCTATTTCCATATTTATTTATTAATTTGGTTAATAATTATTATTATTATTTTTAGGTTGACCCACCTATAGTTTTTAGTGAAACCGCCCAACCGATTAAGTTGCCTCCAAAGAATACGCCAAATCCAGAAGGCAAAGAAGCAAATATCTCAGGATGGGGTGTAGAATCTGTAAGTTTCAATATTAAGAAAAATGGGGTCCCGTCGACTTTAGGGACAGTGGAATTTTAAAGAAATTCATTTTTTATCAGAAAGAGCGTGTTTTAAATAGTACATTTAAAAAAAATTGCGGTAAATGCATTATTTAAGCCAAAAAAAATTATTTAATTTCTATAAAAATCTATATAAATTTGTAAACATAATTGCAACGTTGTGATAAAATTAGTAGTTAATGGAAAATTGTGATTGCACATACCGGTCCATAAATATGTAACAAGAAAATGAAGCAACAACTTAACGTAGGGGGGCGGCTTCGCCGCCACCAAAAATCATCAACCTATACCTGGCTACGCCGACTGGCATAGACTCCAACGGCCTGGACACAGCTTAAATTGAATAATTGAAATGAAAAGGCTCAAATAAACACATTTATATTCTGGTTTTATCATCTGGCCTGGAGCTATTGAAAAAAAAAGCCACTGTCATTCCTGTTATGTACGTTCTTTTACTATGTTTGACAACACCACAATTATAGAAATAAAAATGTTAGTTGTCATACTATTCATAAACAAAAAGTAATATAGAACGGTATTACCATGAATATATTTATTTAGAACAAATAACAAAAAGCAATTGGCAACATCGCTGAAATCACGCAGAGGCGCTCTCAGTGTGACTGTCAAATCGAAAAAATTAAAAACAATATGGCTACGTGAGGATGTCGTGAATAAATGCATATTCTTAATTTTTTAACTTACAAATGTGTTTTAATAATATTTGTTGCTTTAATTAGGTTAGTGCACACTTATAGAAGATTAAAAAGTGTAAAAATATTATGGTTTTACTTAATCTTTATGGAAAAAGTGACAAAATTACTGTCCCTAATATCGACGGTAGCCGAAAAATGTATTGTGTATGTATCAATTTAATATTAATTTTAGGGTCATCCACTATATCCAGCGATACTTCAAACAGTAAATCTAACAATAATCGGTAATGAATTATGTGAAAACATTATGAAAGATACTGATTTACCGCTCGACTCCGAAAAGCAAATATGTGCACATGCTGATATGTCTGATGGTATACCTAGAGGAATATGTCATGTAAGTAAAACAATGAATTGGGTGGTCCAGTATGTCAAAACTAAGTATTCAGTAAGTGACCTTTAAAGAAAACGACGGCAAAATGGTTCATATCTAAAAGTGCACCATGTGATATTTTTCTTTAATTTGCATAGTTCTATGTAGGATTTTCTGGGTGACCTACGAAAATTGGTATTAAAAATAAAAGTTGCTCTGATGTTGATATTAAAATTATTTAAGTCTTCGTATGCACATTGCAGGGCTGAAACCAATTGAACTTAACCTTTAAATGGAAGCACCGTCTCTCAGACTTTTACTTATATTTCTTTTTGCATTGTGGCTACATTGCTTCACCTAGAGATACTCCTTCCATAGTACCTTCAGAGCATTTAGTAAAGTATATTTTAACGGTATGAGAATTTAGTTTTGAGCTGCCTATTCAGAAAAAGTATTATTTTTTAAAAGCTTGCCGGCACTGCAGACCGGATATTTTTGTTTGCGATAAAACATTAGAAGGTATGTCCGACCGTATGTTCCGCTTAGTGTACAATTTTATATAACACTTTTTTTAACTTTGTTGTGCATAATGAACATTCCAAGCACAACTAAAGGCAATCCTGCTAGAGCATACCGAAATGAGAGAGTACGTACAGGCGATAAAGATTTTGAAGAAAAAGTTATAAAATGGTATATGGAAAGCGATAGGAAATTCAAAGATATTGACGATTCAGATGTGGATCCGGATTATATTACGACAGATAAGAGTGATGAAGAGATTGAAGGCAAACAAATACTAAAAACAATCATGGAAAATGATGAAGAACATACCACACAATTTTTCATCGGAAGATGGGGTAAACAACCACCAGCTGCAACCAATGTCAAGTCATAATATAATTAGACAGATGCCTAAACTGACACGAAAGGCCAACAATTTGGGCAATCCAACTATACTCGAAATTTGTAAGTGTCTGTTCCAACAGATGATGGATAAAATAGTTTTACATACAAATGAGAAGGTATCATCTGTATGAAATAAACTCAAACCAGGGAGTAATCCTTCAAACTACCGAAATACCGACACAATGAAAATCCATGCTCTTCTCCGATTACTTATGTGCACCTCTATTTTCAAATCTGGACAATTTTCTCCTAACTGAAAGACATATATTTAGAGCAACAACGTCTGTTAAATGATTTGAAATACTAAACACCTGTCTAGGGTTCGACGATGCCACAACAAGCGAAGAAATAAATAAAACGGATCGTGTTGCTGCAATTTTGGAATTATTTGAGTTTTTATACCAAATTCACAGAAAATTTACTGCCCCAGTAAAAACATGACTGTGAAAGAAATGCTTGTTCCTTTTCGAAAAAAATGAGGCTTTCGTATGTACATTCCAAAGAAACCTGCCAAATATGGCATAAAAATTTAGTGTATAGCGGATTTAGCTACTTCTTACTTATACAACGCGTACATTTACACAGAAAAAGATAGTGGTGGAGTATTACTGTCTGATAAAGAGCGCAAACTAATGAAATCACAATCAACTTTGCGTTCATGCAAACCAATCGAAAGATCCAATCACGGCAGACAAATAGTTCTCTTCTTTAGAATTAGTGGAAGAACTTGGAAAAAGGAAATTAACTTTTGTAGGTACCATGAAAAAGAATAAAGCGGTAATTCCACCAGAATTCAAATCTGATAAAAGAAGACCTGTCGGCTCAGCTTTGTACAAATTTACAAATGACCAGCCTACTATACTATTGTCTATCGTGCCTAAGATAAACAGAACAGTTGTACTGATATCCTCCACTGATACCGATAAAAATTAACTAGAAATTGTGTGCTATTACAAGAAAACAAAAAGTGGTGTTGATCTACTAGACATGAAGAGTGCCTTGTACTCGTCCAACAAGCGAAGCAGAAGGTGGCCACTAGTAGTTTTCTATACCGTTGATAATGTCAATTGTATAAAATATTTTATGATATATCTGTGTTATTGGGATAATCGGTTTGAATTCATAAAAAAACTAGCAGATTCTCTACTGGAATCCCATCTTCGTGGGCGTCTCAATATTCCTAATCTTCCGCGAGATATTAGGGCACTTATCCATTGACAATGGAAATGACGCTACCAGAGACCAAATTCCGAGTAACAAGCTTGAAAAACGTAAAACGTGTTCGAAGTGCCCATCCTCAAAATGCAGAAAAACTACACATAAATTCAGTATAATGTTGTTGTTAGAGATCAACTTGTGTAATATTTTCTTTTGTGTTTTCAGTATTCTTTGTATCTGAATAACAAATACAAGGGTTGCCTGAAGATCTATATACTTCTGCATGCGTTTGAACCAATCGTCGAAGCACGTTTCCCACTCTCATTGAGGTATCTCCAACACATGCATTCTGAACGCATCAACCGCTTCTTCAGGTGTCCAAAAACGTTGACCTCTCAGTTTAATTTTTACGTACGGGAGTAAAAAGAAATCATTTGGTGCCAAGTCAAGAATATACAGCGGATGACTCATCACATCGACGTTTTGAGTGCTCAAAAATGCAGTTGTTTGAGCCGATGTGTGAGAGCTCACATTGTCGAGGTGAAGAGTAATCCGTCTTCGGCGGTTGGATTTTCTCATTTCTTGGAAGACAACTGGCAAATAAATGATCGTGTACCACTTTGAATTGACTGTTCTGCGTTGTTCTAGTGGTACGGTTGCGACATGTCCGAAGAAACAGACGACCATTTGCTTGGAAGTGTTTCGTGCGCGAAGAACTTATGTTGGATTTGGCTCATCTTGATACACCCATACAGTCGACTGCTGTTTACTTTTGGGTTCATACGCATAAATCCACGATTCGTCACCTGTCGCTATGTCATAGACGTGTTTCGAAACACCGCGATCGTATTTTTTGAGCATTTCTTTCGACCAATCGACACGAGCCTTTTTTTGAACGATTGACACATTGTGTGGGATCCAACGCGAACAAATATTTTTGACAGTCAAATGTTCATGCAATATTGAATGGTTCCACTAATGCCTAAAGCCTTGGTTTCTTTGAACACTTCGTCGCGGTGAGCGGACAGTCCGTCAACCGTCGCGTTTTGACGATTTTATCCAACCAGAGTATTTAAATGGGAATGGTTTTCTTGAATCCGCTAAGCTGAGCAGGACGGCGTCATGCCGCTGATTTGTCGCGAAGAGTCGGTTGATATCTGTTGAGTTTGATATCAGCGGAATCGTCGGCGTATGCGGAGACTATATTGTTATTAATTTTAAAACAATAAGTGACAAATTCACACATACAGATGACATCATGACTTTATTTTTAGGTTTCTTGGAAATTATGTCCTTTATAAAACTCAACACGAATTCAAAAAGATCTGTAGAAAGTCTAAAATAATCCCTAAATTTGGTTTCATTTCCAAAAAGCCTCCGCTGCACAGTGATATTAAAGGCACCTTCTGTATCGCGACACAAAAACAACTCATCCACTGGCTTATTGGAAACTTTGACGGATGCAATTGCCAGTGCCTCTTGTTCTTCCTCTTCCAATAATAATAACAACGCAAACAATTTATTTGCATCCATTTTAGTACCTTTCGTTTACATTCATAATACATAAACAGCACGTGCAGACATAGAGAAAGTATCATTTTCTATATTTTTTAACAAACCACCTCGGGCGAAAATTGCTGTCCTCAGCGGTCGACGGACTGTCCGCTCACCGCGACGGAGTGTTCAAAGAAACCAAGGCTTAAGGTTGTCTCAATCTCACATGATGATCTTTCAATATCAGTTCGCGCACAGCATGGTTTCCGGAACAACAACTGATTTTGGGGGACCTTCACGAAATTCGTCTACGTCGACTACGACCTCGATTGAATTCACCATACCATCGATAAACACTGGTCCTTGATGGAGCTTTATCGCCAAAAATTGAATTAAGTTCATCGATGCACTGTTACTGAGTTAATCCATGTCAAAAGTTGTAAAAAATAATCGCACGAAAATGTTTAATTCCACTTTTTTGCCGAGATGAATGTTTTAAGTTGCTGTAAAGAACACAAATATCGCTCGTATGTCAAAACGTTCTGAGTACGCATAACCTCATAAATGTCAAACTTTACGACAGAGCTGTCAGTTGCCAGTTTTCAACACTAGGGTTGTCCAATCCCAAAATATGAAAGGCAACCCTTGAACCCTTGTACATGTTTCAAATACCTGAAATATTTGTTTTTCTTAAAAATAATTAACTTTATTTTAAAATGTATATAGCCGATCAAAATAAGGTAATTTTTAATGAAACGTCTCTGATACCGTATGTTTTGTATTATGCAATATAGGGCCATGTATTTATTTAAGGGTTAAATTGAAACCTGTTTGACTTATATTGAAACCAGTAAAACTTATATTGAAACCAGTAAAACTTATTTTGAAACTAGTAGAACTTATTTGTTCACACTAAAACGTTACTTGCTAACTTTTATATACTAAATGTCTGCAATACTGTATTTAATTATGCCTAGAAAGTTGAAGACTCTTTTCGGAATGAGGATATTAAAATGGACCGATAATTACTTGGTCCATTTTATATCGTACGGTTCACGGTTCCATAGATGCGAGAAAATCTGTTATTCAATTAAAAACTTATACAATCGCAACTCTTATTTTACATAAAATACACAAATTCAAAATAAACCCTATAGAGGGAAAGCCCACTCATGCGACACGTCGCGCGCGACTAATCGCGAGGCATCGCGCGCTGCAATCATTTAGATGTTTTTAAATGACTCAAAGCCCATTAACGCGGTTCTGTCGCGTGGTCGCACGCGGCTGAAAATTAGAAATGACAAGTCGGCGATTTTCCTGCCGCACGCGGCCATCTTTATCTCATGGATTCATATGGAGCATCACTCATACAAACGTCAAGTCGCGCGCGAAACGCCAGTTGAGAGTTGGAGTTTCCTGTTAACTTTTCGACAGTTTTAGTGAAAAAATGTCCGACAGTTGTATTTTTATAGATGAATTTATATCGGATATTCAAGACCGACCTCAAATATCGAACAGTTAATTAAAATAAAATAGCGAAAAAAATATTTGTTCGGGAATCTGCGCTAGCAGTTCATCAAATGACACTACTCTTACTCAGATATATATGAAGAACTTATCTAAGTGTTGACGTAAATCCTTATGTAATAAATTAAATGCGCTTTTTACGTAAGAGTCAATAAATAATGGATGAGCACAGTACCTACGTCGTTTCAATTTTTTCCACCGACGAACAGAGTAAAACAACACCGTTACTACTTCTTTTACCTCTATTTTGATACTGAACGTCTGTGTCGCTGCTTGTCGTCTGTTAAAAATCGCACCTAAAAAATCGCATGCGGCAGGTAGCGCGCGACATGTCGCGTGAGTGAGCTTTTCCTCTATAAACTAGAAGGTTGGTAGCTTGGTAAAATTTAATAACTGTGTCACTAGTCTAGTTGTTCCCTTTTCATGAAAAAGTTAACTAACAGTTAAAGTAACTATATTAAAGTAAAATATGTAATAAGCGAAACCGATGAAAAATTAAATGAAATAAAATTGTCCATGCGTAGTAAAAATATTCAAACCTATATATCTTAAAATTAACTGTACTCCATTCTTTTTAATTTTTTTTACAATTGGTTGTTTTTGCAAAAAGATAATTAGCCTTTATTTTTTTAGAAAAATATGTATAATCAAAGAGTAAAAAACAATGTATAAAATATTTAAAATGCTTTTACTATTGGAAAACCTTATTGTGGTAAATTATTTTAGGGTGATTCCGGTGGCCCATTAGTTACTGATGGAGTTCAATACGGAATTGTGTCATATAACTATGGTGATTGTGGAAGTGTGGAGTACCCAGATGTCTTCACAAGGGTTGCCCATTATATAGACTGGATTGAAGATAAACTATAAATGTGTAATTTTAAATATTTCAACTAAATTTAAATAATTACATTCTTATGTTTTTGTGATGTTTAATAAAATATAAACTTTCTAAGGTTAGTAAATGTGTTTAACTAATTCAGTTAATAGAAAATACGTAGATTTTTAAATTTGAGGTCAAGGTACAGTATCATGAAAGGAAAGAGTGAAGCCCATGGATTAGTCATCAATTCCAGCTATGAGGACCAAATATAAAAATTATTCAGAAATTTCATTACAAAAGAGTCACAGCTTTTGTAGTTGCCCCTTGATAAGTTTTGCAGACATTGAACAATTATTTGAAAGTACTATATTTCAGAGGATTGTTATACCCTTCACAGAGACCCAAATATTAAACAACTTTTATAAATGTCCGTCACTCCGATTTCACGTTTTTTGTCCGCACAATAGTTAAGAGGGGTTGAAATATACAAAAAAAAAAAAACTCAAAACGAAAAATAATATCAATTTGAATTTTCAGAAAAAAATAAGTTTTATTTGGGGATGAAGCTAAATGATTTTGAAAAAAAGATGATTGAAAATGAGGATTAAGGGGGTTAAAATAAAAAAAGAAATAAATTAAAAACGAAAAGCGATAACAACGTGAAATTTTTAGTAATTTTTAGTGATTTCTAAGTTGATTCCTTTTTTCAACTGTGTATAAAATGACTTAAAAGATACACAACTTTTTCAAATAACGTCTTTTAAATAACTTAAAAATTATTTTTATATACATGAGTCATTTTAATTTTTAAACAATCCCAAATTAACTAAAATCTATCACGCGATGAACTTACAACAAATTGAGATATCACTGCCTGATACAAAAAATGTATAAACACCAACAAAATTTATCAGCCGTCGTATCGCAGAGATTGTTCGACTTTTCAAATTAGCTTATCTTCCTTATTTTTTAGTTATTTAAAAAATACGGTCGCTTTCCTTCGATCCACCTTATTATCAATTATTGACTGATTTCAAAGTATGCGATAATCAATTTTGTATCTTTATTTGACAGATTTATTAATTAATTTCACAAAAAATGGACTCGGCTTCCTGACTCGCGTATCGGGGACAACATTAATCATTTGTAGTGCGCATTTCGTACGCGTTTTATTTGTACATCGATTTCCTTTTGACAGAGTAGGTGAGCTGTGTCCAGGCCGTTGATGTTTATGCCGGTCGGCGTAGCCAGGTATGGATTGAAATTTTCCGGTGGCGGCGAAGCCGCCACCCTACGAGAAGTTGTTGCTTCGTCTTCTTGTTGTCACGGCATTATTATTATTATTTGTTCATGTATGTGAAATTTACTCCTAAGGTTTATAAAATACTACGGCTAGTCACAGCGTAAATGAAAACAAACAAGACGCATTCACACAAACACCTCCCACCACAGCAATTACAAATGATTAGTGTTGTCCCCGATACGCAAGTGCTTCCCGTACCATGCCAGCACAAGGCACAAGTAATGCCGGTGTCAGGCCGAGTGAATGCCGCATGGATGTAGAAGGTAGGGTCTGAGACGGGTTCACTTCCGCCATATTGGATCGACAAATCCATCAAACCGGTAATTTTGATTTTAATCGACGTTTATTTTATTTTTATGTCGTTTGCTAACTAAAATATTACATAAATAAAATGTTAAACAATGGTCTCTTGTGCTCAACGAAGTTGTAGCAACAGAACTGATGTTAATAAGAAGAAATTATAGGGAATAACTTTCCACAAGTAAGTATACAACACAGTAAACAATGTGCAGGGCGGTATCTGGGAAATTGAAATATTAATCATTGTTGTGAAACTGATCCGCAATACACTAGGGGAAAAAGGGTCACTTATTGATGACAATAATGAAATGGTTTCCTGGAACTATTTGAAAGAACTTCATAAATTACAAGAAAACGAGTCGTTTCATTTAGCAAACAAATTATAAGATCACAGCGTATTGGTTTTGGCAGACAAAAAATGAAAGTTAGGCTTGCGACTCAAGTTTTCAGTGATAGCGTTGCAACCGCATTAGAGTTTTATAGGGACGAATTAAAAATTAGAGAATTTGCTGAAGCTGGTGCAACAATTAGATTTATAAGAATGATGAATAATGTCTTTGATATATTAAATTCCAGAAATTTATTCCAGCTTCATTATAAAAAGTCTTTGTCTTTGAAAAATTTTGAACTCATAGAATCTTTTTTCAATGAGGTAGATAAGTATATTAGTGCCTTAAAAACAAATGTAGATAGCACCGACAGACATACTAGATTCTTAGGTTTTAAAGTATGTATATCCAGTTTAAAACTTTTATTTAAAAGATTAATTTCTTCCAACACTCTACAGTTTTTACCAATGTATAAAATATCTCAAGACCACATAGAATTATTCTTTGACTGTATTCGCTCACATGGAGGCCACAACAATAACCCCACCGCCCGACAATTTCAGGCAGCTTATAAGAAAATATTAGTACATGTCGAAGTACGTGAAAGTTTTCGTGGAAATTGTATTCCGCTAGAAGAGCTCCGAATTTTAATATGTCCCGTTCGACAAATCAACAAATCTTCAAGAGACTACAGGGGTCTTGGTTTATCAGAAAATTACTACAGTGTGCTAGATAATACTGAGCATGATCATGATTATTTACCAAACCCTACGCTATCGGAATTTACAAAATATATTGTGACGTATATTGCTGGCTATATTGTATTCTCTTAATAAAAAAGATTATTTGTGAGGAATGCGTAAATTCTTTATGTGCAGACCAGAAAGACCTACGAATATTTTCATTTATAGACAAAAAAAAATAAAAAGAGCCTATAGTATCCCTTTGTGGATGTGAAATAATAAAAAAGAGAACTGTTCAATTTATCATTTTATTTATGTAGACTCTATTGTATCTTCAGTGTTAAAGTCATTTATAAATAAAAATAGATTTGCAAATTTGACAGCCCACAGTTTTGATCAGGATCCATTAGAATTATAGAGTATTGTTAATAAAAGCTTTAGCTACCAAATACACAAACATTAGAATGTGTTACCTCATTAACAGTAAAATAAAAAAATGTGATAGCATAAGATATCACAATAATAAAATTGTATTGTAAGGGTCAATGAACATAATTTTTATATTGGATATTGATTTTGCCGTAATATATTTTCTATTAATACCTTAACAACTGTTTGATTATTTTATGTTAAACCGTAACTGATAAACCATGACATATCAAATGAAATTTGCGGAATTTTTAATTAGTTTTTTTTTTTAACTATGTAACATAGAATCTACTTTTACTTGCACCTTAATAATTTCTTAAAACTTTTATTAAAACTGTTAATAATTATCCGTTTTATGACAATTAATTAAAAAAAGCAAATTAGGGTTTGAGATGCATTACCAATAGTCCGGCCCTGGCAGAACGGCCATATTGGATTGACTGTCACCACGACTAGTGATACCGTTTTGAATGCCGACTGTTTGTGGTTTACTAGGTTTTGGCTTTGACCAAGGTAAATTGGACTAGATCCTATTTTAGCCAAATGGAATGCCGACTGTTTGTGGTTTACTAGGTTTTGGTTTTGACCAAGGTAAATTGGACTAGATCCTATTTTAGCCAAATGAATTTGTACTAGCATTCTGTACAAAACTCTCAGGGGCATCACATTTTTGATAGATAATATTATGAAAAGAAATTCTAAAATTGCTTTACTTCAATAATAATTTTGACTAAATTTGAATTGAAATGATAGGGACTATAAATGTCCACATTTCGAAAATTATTATAATTAAAATAAACTAAATTCAAAAATATATTTTAAGTGTCACCATAATAACACAGCTTATATGAATAAGCTGTGATAATAATATTATAGATATTGAAAGTATCTAATTTAGTTCAAAAGATATAAAAACTCCTTAAAATGATAAATATATTTCGATACTTAATTTGATAGTTATTATTTAAAATAACAAACATTTGTGTAAAAAGTAAAATTCCCTATTTTTATTATATTAATTAAATAAAAAAAAAATAATGGCCCATGGGGGGATCGAACCCGCGACCTTCGCGTTATTAGCACGACGCTCTAACCAACTGAGCTAATGGGCCGTTGGAAATCTTTATTCAGCATGCGTATATAATGTTAATATTACAGTGATGTATGTATAATATGTTGCCTAACAAATAGGCAACCTGATACAAAACAGGTTAAAATAATACTGTAGCAGATTATTTATTTAATTTATATATTTGTTAGTAGAGTAGAACGTCGATTATTATGTTGTATGTATGAATACATTATAGGTTCATATAAATAATGGTTTTATTTCACCACAAAAGTGAATATTAACGATTTTAGTAGTTTTCTTTTATTATGAACTTAAACGAACTTTTTTTGGTTCTTTTCGAAAATTCGGACATTTTGATAATCCGGACGAGGTCCGGCCTCAATTAATCCGGATTATCGACGCTCTACTGTAATACCTTTATGAAAAAAAATTTTAGGTCTGTTTAAATAATGAATTATTGTTAATGTGTTGCACCCAGCTATTCTATCATATATAATGGGTCTGTAGGCTTGTGTTCATTTTTTTCAAGATTGCGAATCCATTAGGAAATCATTTTAGTCAATGTATAGGTACATTACAATTTTGAGAATTACTTTTTGGTAGATGATTATTTCTTTCAAAGGTGTCTCTTCTAGCATCTGTCTTTCACTACACTCAGCCAGGGCCGCCGAGAGCCAGGTGGGACCCCACCTGGAAAATTTTATACAAAAAATTAAGCCCTTTCAATATTACATTTCTAAAAAAAAGCAAAAACTTCGATTCTTTTTAGTGAAATCCCTAAAAAAAAAATGTCCTCATTTTGTATTTTAAATAAACCAGCGCTCCTCCCTTTTGTGGCGAACGTCTAAAAAAATAAACGTCGCGCCCCCACTTGTGTTCGGGCCCCGAGAATTTGTCCCGGCTACCCCCTCTCGTCGTCCCTGCACTCAGTAAGAGGTAGGTATAGTCCCTAATTTTTTTCTAAAGCAGGCGCATCCAGCGTTTAAGTCTGGGGGCAGTGGTAATATTTGAGACTTTATTTCAGAT